TATAAGATAGAGACGCAGGATGAAATAGTTTCTCTTCTTAAGAATGTAAGGCTCATGTGCTAAACCAAGGATGGAGCTGGTACAAGAAGTTAGATCACAAGAGCCATTAAAGTCCCTTAATTGTTCAAGCCCATTTGAATTGGAGTTTCTGTTAACAAGTAGCCAACAGCACCCCCAGACAGGTGTGAACTGCATTTGAAACCTGGAGAGCCAGTCTCCCAAAGGAGCATCACAGTCAATTTTGTTGTTCTCTCCTTTAATAAATCTTTGTTAATTTATTTTTTAAATTGTGCTGCTGGCACCAGCTTTTGGCTTCTCCTACCTGCCCCCATCTCCTAGATCCTTGACTGAGAGTCCCCCCCTTTTTTTGAGTTGGGGTCTCACTCTGTCACCCAGGCTGGAGTGCAGTGGCACAGTCCCAGCTCACCACAGCCTCAACCTCCAGGGCTCAGATCCTTCTGCCTCAGGCTCCCAAGTAACTGGAACTACAGGCATACCACCATGTCTGGCTTTTTTATCTTTTATTTTTGTAGAGATGGGTCTCACTGTGTTGCCCAGGCTGGTCTCAAACTCCCAGGCTCAAGCAATCTCTCGCCTTGGCCTCCCAAAATGCTGGGATTACAGATGTGAGCCACCGTGCCCAGTCTGAGAGCCCAACTGTAAGTCTCAATGCCTTGCTTTTAGCCTTAACCCTACTAGGTTGGCCGTTATCTTGGTCTGATTCTCAAAAGTGCCTGCAGACCCAAAACCTGACACCCTCAAGTCTCTGCTGGTATCCTATGTGATAGCACACAGGAACACAGATTGGAAACATCTCTTCCTACTGGCCCTAGAGGCCCCCAAAGCCCTGTTCACCATGGCCCCAGCACTACTCTGCTGGCAGACTTCTGCCTGGTCCCCTCCTACCTTGTCCCCCAAGCCAGCCTCTGCCAAGAAACCATCTCAGTCCTCTCCAACTCCCTGCAGCAGGGACTGCTTTTTTTTCCTCCAAATAAGAACAAGCAGTGGAAAGAAAAATACCGAGAAAGGGCAACTTTCTATTGCCTTGCTTATACCCTAGGAAATTTTAATTCTCAACAATCAAGATATAATAAAATCATAAAGTAAACGACTTTGCTTTTTCAAACAGAAAAAGTACAGATGAGGATGCTTCTCAAACTGTTTGTCAGTATAGCATATGGCAGTGAAGTAAGTTCTAGAGGTTCCTGGCTGTGCCAGACCTCATTCTTTTTTTTTTTTTTTTTTTTGAGTTGGAGTCTCACTCAGTTGCCCAGACTGGAGTGCAGTGGCTGCTCCCGGCTACCGCAGCCTTGACCTGCTGGGCTCCGGTGATCCTTCTGCCTCAGCCTTCCAAGTAGCTGGAACTACAGGCACGTGCTACGTAGCCCGGCTAATTTTTTTAAAAAATTTATTTATTGTAGAGATGAGGTTTCGCCAAGTTGCCCAGGCGGGTCTCGAACCCGCGGGCTCAGTCAATTCACTCACCTCGGCCTCCCAAAGCATGGGATTACAGGCTGAGCCACCAAGCCCAGCCACAGACCTCATTCTTGAGAGATGAGTCTTAGATGAGGGCAGGAACTGGAGAGTAGCTCAGAGCAGTCATTACCAGTTAAAGGGACACCTTTCAATGGTTTAACAGCTGTTATAGTCACTGTAGCTGAATATTCATCTTATATGTGTGTATTTTTCTTAACTATGTAACATTTCCTTTGATTTTTAAAGTTTAAAAATAAGTTATTTTTGGTCATAGTCTCACTCTGTCATCTAGGGTGGAGCACAGTGGCATGTTCATGGCTCACCGCAGCTCGACCTCCTGGGCTCGAGATCCTTCTGCCTCAGTCTCCCAAGTAGCTGGGAGTACAGGAATGTGCCATCATGCCTGGCTAATTTTGTGATTTTTTTTTTGTAGAGACGAGGTCTTCCTACGTTGCCTAAGCTGGTCTCAAACTGCTGGGCTTGAGGGATCCTTCCATACTGGTCTTCCAAAGTGCTGGGATTACAGCATGAGTCACCCCATCTAGCCAAACATTCTTATTTTAATAGAATCACTAGCATTTATTCAGAAAATAAAATAATGTAGATAACCACTACCTTTTAAAAAAAAATCTCAGCTGGGCTCAGTGGCTCAGCCTGTAATCCCAGCACTTTGGGAGGTTGAGGTGAGTGAACTGCCGGAGCCCGCAGGTTCGAGACCCACCCAGGCAACTTGGTGAGACCTCATCTCTACAATAAAATCAAAAATTAGCCGGGCGTGGTAGCACACGCCTATAGTTCCAGCTACTTGGAAGGCT